AAACACATTTCTTTTTACAATTTTTTTTATAGGCAACAACTTAAATAAACAATGTCAACTGGACATATTCATCGTTTATCAACATCTTCTACTTCATATATTTCTTCAATGTCAATTGATGATATTCAGATTTTATCCACCTTTCCTGTTTGATCTACTACTACATCATCAAATACAAATGTTTCATCATCTTCTTCGTCAAATTCGTTATCATATTCTAGTGAACGAATATGTTATTTATTAAAATATGAAAAACAAGAATACGGTATTGTTGATAATAATAAATCATCTCCTGTTGGCTCATATTGATCTATTTTTGGATTTATATTTTCTTTTAATTCTTCGTCGTATCCTGAATCATATGTTGTTTTTGTTATTATACTTAAATATCTTTCGATTATGCGAAGAAGTATTGATATCATCAAAAAATCTCGTAAATTCAAGTCTTTCTTGCATGAAAAATATTTAAGATGATTGTCTCTTTGTTTTAATTTGCTATTTTGTGCAAAAACTTGTTATTTCATTATCTTCATGAAAATAAATTAAATAAATAATTGAAATTGGAAACATGCATTAATGCAGAGTTATAGAATTTAATGGATTTGAAAAATCAGAAACATCAATTGGCCTGGTTTGGCCTGCAGATCAGATCAGGCCACGCCGCAGGCCACTCTTTGATTTTTGGCCTGGCCTGTAGGCTAGGTCAGGCCAGGCCAGGCCGGAAAAAAGTGGCTTGTTGGCATCTCTGATATTGATCGCAATGATATTGTTCGCAACGAACAGAACTAAAGAAAATATTCTGCGACGAATTGATCGCGACGAACTGTCGGGCGACGAATAGTCGTGCGACGAATTGTACTAGTGCCGAGTTTATGTATTGGAATATGAGATAGGATTTTTTCTTTTTTAATATATTTTTTTGCGAAGAAATTTAAACCTTAAAGAGAGATATATTCTTTTTTCAGTGAGTTCAGATGTTTTAGAAAATTGCTAATGTCAAAATGAAGAATAAAATACTTTTTTGTGTCACGCAATGGGCGTTTTACCTTGTTAGTTGCTAACACTAAATATATTCGAGTCAAATTACAGCTCTGATCGCCAAATCAAAAACTTAAAAATATAGGTTGCCATTGATATACAGGAACCCAGATATTCGATTTTTTGGCTAGTGACAATATGGATAAGATAATCGCAAAACAAAGTTTCAGTAGATTTCTTTTTCTCCTCGTGTTGATTAGATAGAGCTACCCAATTTACATACGAAAGAAAGTGTTTTAAATTAAAAACAATGTTTTCAAAAGTTAGAATTTGGATTCTATGCTCTCACAAGTTGAAAAACGATTGTATCTTGGATGGTTTTGTGAAATGTTATCCTTTAATTTGAAACATACTTGTTCTTATGTGAATTGAGTGGCTCTATTGAAACGTGGCGCGGTGTCAGCTTAAATTTTAGTCGAGTATGCCTAGTCTTAGCAATTAACAAGATAAAGACCTCCATCGATAGTCCTTTCATGCGTTCGAGTTAGAAGAGATGGAAATATATACAAATAGACTATAAACATTTTCGTATTTTTCGCTCGTTCTCTTCTTACTGCAGCGGTATAGGTTTCTGTTACGAATTCCCAGTCTTAATTCAACAAGTAATTATATTTTACTTTCAAAAACGTATGATGTTCTGTTTTTAGTCTTTGCCACAGGTTTGTCAAGAAAGAATAAAAGTAATTTAAAATAAGAACTTTGAAAATTTTCTCAAGTATAAATAAAATAATGTAGTAATTTAGATTTTTTTATTTCCTGTTTTGTCATTTTATGTTAAGTAAGCTTTCATATGTAATCGAAAATGCAATCGTTATGCTACTTAGAAAAGTTTATACGAAAAATCTAAATTACTACATAACTTTATAGATAATCGAGAAAATTTTCAAAGTCCTTATTTTAAATAACTTTTATTCGTTTTTGACAAATCTGTGGCAAAGACTAAAAACAGAACATCATACCTTTTCGAAAGTAAAATATAATTACTTGTTGAATTAAGACTGGGAATTTGTAGCGAAAGGCTATATCTTTGCAGTGAGAAGAGGAATATGAACAATCGTGAGAAAAATTAGTATAATTGGGCGTGTATTTTATGTTTTTAAGCGCGTTTAACCGCTAAATATTTTTTCAGTTTATTTGCGACAAATATTGGGCATTTCTCGCCATTAATATTCTTAATGTCAAAAATCTGTACAAAGGGAATAAACTCCATACAAAATGAGACACTATTTGTTCAGCCACAGTGAGTACAAAAAGTGACATGTTTGTCTGATTGGGGAGCTCTATCTATTAGTGGTATTACTTTCCGATTTGGCAGTGTTTGTGGGTGTTCGCTTGTTTTACAAATACCCAATACTAATTTGTATTATTTCGATGTTTGAATAGATCGACATTTTTCTTCTCTAACAATGTAGGAGTTATCTTCAATAAATATCATAATAATGTAATCTCCAGAAAAGCTGTTTGTTATGATATCTGGTGGAAATATTAGAAAACATCTTGTCTTCAATACGTATGCTTGTCTTGATGTTTTTTTTGTTATTAACCCTAGCTGCGTAATACATATTAGATTATATAAAAGGAATGGTGTCGATGGAACTTAGAATAAATGCAGAAACAACTTTATTAAAGATTCGAAATCATCCTTCTGATTATTCACACTTAATTACATTTTTTAATTTCATTTATGGCACATTATTTTAATAATCTTCTTTCGTTGAGAAAATTGATCAATTGTTTTATCAAAACAAAGAGCTCTTATCGAAATTTTATTACTACGATATTAGTTGAACAATGATCTAATATCACAGAAATATAAAGTATTGTATATCCTATGAGACCATATAGAGTGAAAGTTTTCTGAAGTTTTTTTTTTAATAAGCAAATTAAAAACTTCTAACACTGTTTTTGATACATCCGAAATAATAATAACGTTACTTAAATCTAAGATTAAATCTAATAATAAATGCGGAAACTTCGGATTTAAATCCGAGAGTTATGTGTACTTCAAAAAGTGAATCATACAAATCAATCATCCTAGACTGTCTGAATATCAAAATTATACTGTGAAATCTACCATTTAAAATGTTGATTTCTATTGCGCGTTGCCAAACCAATAGGACATGGGACCGAATACAGCTCAAGTTTGAACTCTTTCCCTTGATTTACCCTAAGAAAGTCGTTTTTCCTATAATTTCATTTCTATTGGTCACTGCACAACTAATAGTATTTCGATGGAAGTGCAGTACACATTCGAGTTCTCCATATCTGAAAACCTCGAAGTATCATCAGTGTGACCAGAAGATAAAGCTCTATTTGTGGATCAATTAGATCGTGGACCAAAATATAACCTAGTTCTCTTTAATTATCCTTGTCATTGGTAAGTCAACCTTCTTGTTTCTTTATGCTTTATATATCATTTTGTAGTTCTTGAAATTCTCTATCGAATGGTATATAATAGTTGGGGTTTTAATTGACTATGATAGGAAAAGTCTTTTACGAAAGTCGCGATGGGTCCATTTTTCCACAGAAAGCTATAGAGAAAAATGGGTATTTTTGCAATAACTCAGGAACGGCTCGGCCGATCGTTCTCATCTTCGAACTCGATCGAGACATTGTCAAGACTAAGCTGTGTAGAAAGTTTCATCGCAATCTGACTCTGCTGTCAAAAGTTATCATGTAAACAGCCAACCGGACGGACGGACACACTGACTATTCTATAGTGTACTCACTTTTTGAGGACACAAAACTATGATTCAGTTCAAAACTAATATCAGATTCAGAATCAGCGTTAAAAACTGAGTCGATTTATATATTTTGTGAATAATTATGAGCAAAAATGTTTTTTTCGAAAAATCTCCGTACCCCCCCTCAGGGGTGGTCTGGTCAAAAATCACAATTTTTTCGATAACTCAGCCATTTCTTGGCGGATCCTTCTCATATTCGAACTCGACCGAGATATTGTCAAGACTAAGCTGTGTAGAAAATTTCATCGCAATCTGACTCTCCTTTCGAAAGTTATCGTGTTAACGGCCGGACGGACGGCCGGACGGACGGACACACAGATCGATTTTAGTAGTGTACTCACTTTTTGAGTACACTAAAAAGATTTATTTTGGCAATAAAATATAACTATAACATCTGTGTATTTAGTTAAAACCCTTTAAATAACTTGTCCTCGCTTCATTCATCATTTTGTCAATAATTGATAAAAGCTCTTCTTTTGAATTAGATTCTATAGGAAATGGAATTGTAAAAATTCGAGTTGTTGCATCAATATGTTCATGAAACATTCGATCATTTTTTTCGGCTGTTTCCCATCGATGATAATTACATACTAGTCGAAGACCAAATGAACCTATGGCAATAACTTCAGCGGTTGTAAGTCGTTGAAGCTCAGCTTCTGGTCTTGGACCAAAAGTCATATCAACTAATTCTGCTAGTTCAGTTGAATAGTTTGTATTTAAATTTTTCATAATTTTTGGTACTGTTTTATCATCATAAAAATTATCCATTGTTTTCATCTTTATTTAAAAAAGAGAAAAGAATACTCAGCAAATATTGATAAATATCGTAACTTTTATCTGTTCTTTTTTTTTTTTACAATCTCACGTTACTTCATAGATAATATTATTATACACTCAGCGCAAGGTATTTCTGCCAGTATGACGAAAGTATAGCTAACACAAGATGATGACGAATGTTTACATTTAATTCGTCATAATTTTCTCTACTATCCAATTTTGAGTATATCTTATATGAATATATGTAAATGCAACTATCTAGAATAAAATTTATTGATTATAAATGGCATTAAAAAAAAGTATCGATTAAAATCACAGGGACAAATAAGATCAATCAGTAAAGTCGGCTAGATTGTTCACAAAAAATGAAATGAAGACAATAAAAAAAAGAATATATAAACGACTAAATGTGCACAACCATTGTGCATTATTAGTTCCTTTTTATGGTTGAGCAAATTGATCTGTCCATAGACGAGCTTTGTCTGCATTTTTCTCATTTAGTGGATCCTCTTCAAGAGGTATTTCATAATTTGGTTTTTCCAATAATGAATGCATTTCAGTTAATAATTTAGCGAGTGTAATACTTGGTGCCCATGTAACAGTAAGGTGATCATGGCATGCATTGCCTGTTTTTGAATGAACATTTGGATGGCACATCGCTGTAATAAAGTAAAATTCAGGTGGTTTAAATGGATATTCAGGAGGAAATTTTATTATAAAACGAAAATGACCACCAGCATATGGAGTTTCATCAGGGCCAATTAATGTGCCAGTCAATTCATTAACACCATCGTTAAATGCCAAGTTTAAATTTTGGATAAATGGTAAAGGGTTGGTATTTAATGCGTTTAAATCCTTTTCTATTCGTTGGGTTTGTCGACTGGGAGCAGCTGCCATTTTTTAATTTATATCTAAAAAATGGTAGATATATATATGTTTATTTCTTTAAAATTTTATTCAAGTTTTTCGGAAGTAAATTTTTATTCATGCCTCCCCACACCTCACTTATTTTTCGATCACCTTTGGTTACAGGTGTACAATTTAAACTTCGTAAATCAGGCAATAAACATAAAACATATGAACGTAAATAAGGCACAGTTATTTCAATTGGATTACCATGTAATGTTAAATATTTCAATTCTTTTAATGATACTAATTTTTGTACTTCGGCTACATCACTAAGCGTATTTTTATGAAAATAAAAATATTTTAGTGAAGGAAATTGTGTTACTACCTAGAAAGAAAAAGAAATCGATGTATGAAAAAAGAAAAAAATACCAATAAATGAGTGAATAAAGAAGGACGAAAAAACTTTGGAGACATCTATTACTTCCTATTGAAAATCTGAGTCACTCATTTATAGATGGCATTAAAATTTTTTGTTTTATTTAATTTTTTTCTTACTGTAGGAATTTCTGCAAATTCATTAAATGATAAATCTAATGTTGAAAGAGCATTCGGATCGACAAGTGTCGTTCGTATAAATTCCGGAAATGTTTCCAAAGGACCATTTAAAGAATTATGATTTAAATTAATACCATGCGAATGATATCGATCACCTTGTTTTATCAATTTTGGTCCACCTGGTACTACACGCGGTTCAGCAACCGCATCTATTTATAAACAAAAGAACAAAAATTTATGCTACAAGAAACAAAAATCAACTGTTCTACCTTCAAGTTTTTGTGCATTATGAAACGAATAATCTAACGGAGGAAATGATTGTGCATGATTATCAATACGCTTTTGTATTGTTGGTGTTGTTCGTTTTACAGTTAACGATGCCATAGCTCACTGAAAAAAAAGATCAAAACAAAATTAGATATAAAAATGATGGTGATCTTTGATGTGACTGTGTTGCTAAGCAACGAACAAATAATTCAATTCAATATTCATTAATTCCAATAATTAATATGAAGTAATTTTTAAAATTTAATAGAAAATAACGTAATAAATATTTTTTTTCTTACAGACAAAAATTTTTACTAACAAAATGAAGGCTATTGTTAAGTAACCATGACCAAAATAGGTACTCATGGATGAAGAAAAAAACATGCATGCGCGTTGAAAATATAAACAAAGAGGAATAAATTTTACTGCACCACTTGAAGGTCGACATTGAACTCCACTTAAATGAAAACATATGAATAGTTTTTAGATTTTTGAAACCTTGGTAAAATCGTATAAATGGCTGCTACAACTGTTAAAACTGATCCAATTCGTATGAAATAAAAAAAAATTGTTTTTAATATTCATTTTATTTAATTAGAAAGCGATAAAATGAAATTTCGTACACAAATTATCGATGGAAAACCACAAATATTTTTTGATACGAATGGTTTGTTAATGACTATATTTATTTTTGTTGATATTTTAATACTAATTTATTGAAGATGAGTCTTCCAAAAAAACAAAATCCAAAAGAAAGAGTCGAGCAATAAATACGGCGAATCGTTTTACAGAACAACAAAAAACGAAAATAAATAATCAAAAATCTCCTATACCAAATGGAACAAATAAACAAAAAACTAAAACTGAACAATCAACTAATAAAATACGAGTTAATGATGATGGTTCAACATTAGGAGTTTATATGACTATGGATGAATTAGCTGAACTTGTCAAAGCTGTAAAAGAAAACTCAAAAAGTAAAGCAAAATAAAGATTTTTTTTTCAATAATAATTTAGCTATATTTTAGACGAGAATAAAACCAGCACAGAAATCAAACGTAGATTGAAAATCTTTAATTTAAAAAAAAAAGTCTTTTCTTAATTTGTTGTAGAAGAACCACCACCACCATCACAACAACAGCAACAGCAACAACGACAATATACTGAAACAACAGCTCCGCCCCTTGTTCCTAAATTAGATTTACCACCTGAACCTCTTCCACCTCCACCAGTTCATGTTACACCACGAGAACAAGTTTTAAGTGTAATGGCTGAAAAAAAACGTCAAAAATGGCTTCGAGAAAAAGCTGAAATTGAACGATTACAATTAGAAATTGAATATGATCAGCTTAAACATCAATTATCACCTCGTCATAAAAAGACTTCTGTATCTCCTGGTATCATCAAAATACAAAAAAAATTAAATTCATATTTTGTTTCTGACTTTTAAGAACGATCAACATTCCAATATGATTTTCCACCAACAACGAATAAACCACCATCTGTACCCTCAGTTCCACAATCATTTAAATCTAATGATCATCAACATGATATTTCACCAAAAGTCAACGAAAGTAAATAAAAAAAAACCCAAGAGAAAACTCAGTATTGAGTATTGTTCTAGTAGATCCAAATCATGATGCTTTGAAAACACAACTAATGGAGAAAAAACAACAACAATGGAAACAAGAAAATTGTAAGAAGCTAGCAATTAGAAATTTTTGTCATGCTTGAATAGAGATCGTCAAATTACCTAAACAATAGTCATTGTTGACATATTGACACGATGTTTTTGTAAGTGAAACGTAAGAAAATTGATAAACACCAAACACATAAAGCTTCGACAGCCCTCAAGTTTATCTGAATTTTTTTTTTGTTTTTACGCATTATATAGTAAGGAAAAAATCTATGCATGCTACAAAAATCTGCATTGAACAGTATACTTAATACTCAAAACTGAATTACAATCCTTACATCCCTCTTACTTATTTTTTCGAACAGCCTGACATATGGTTCATCTAACAAATGAAGTCTTCCAATTGATAAATCGCTTTTGATTTGGAACTACATGATAGATGTAGACCCAAATGAGTTTTGAATATCCTGAAAAGAGTTTGCCTTGCTGACTCTAAATACAAAGCTGCTTTTATGACTTTTTGCTATCATGTCAAAAAAAATCAATTTTGTCTGAATATGATAGAAGCAACATTTTTATACCTTTGTCGACGATCTCTATCCAATCATGGCAGAAAAAAAAATTTGCTCAAATTTCGAATTACCGAAACCTTATATTATAAACAAATTGAAAAATTTCCTTATCTAAATTTTTATTTTTTTAGCGGAAAAACCACCAGTTTGGAATCCATTTGGTCGTCCAGGTGGTGGTGCACCTAATATCAATGAAAATCAATCGCAAGCATCTGTTTGTTTTTCTATTTTCTTTTTATTGAATTCAAATGGGATTAATTAATTTATTTTTTTAGCAAATACCATCAAATACTGTATCATATCGTCCACCAATTCCACAACATACTGATAATTCTTCATATTCATTACCATCTACAAATATTCATAGTGATCAAACACATATTCCAGCTGCAATGCGAAGAAATTTATTATTTGGTGATGTTCGTTTTGAAGATGATGTTAAAACTGCTAAAGAAATAGAACGTCGTCAATGGTTAGAAGATTTACAAAAACAAGTTGAAGAAAATAAACATAAAAAAAGTTTTCAACAAGAAACTGAACGTCGACAAGATTTTTTACATGAAAATGTTCAACCACTTATACAAGAAGCTGCTTATAGACATCAACAACAAACGAATTATACTGGACAAGATTTAAATAGATTTAATCAACATGATTCATTAGTACAAAAAAATTTTGAAACAAATGAATCAAATAACTATGATAAACGATCTCAATTAATTGATAAACTTAAACGTAATGGATATCCAATAGATTCAATAACTAAAACAATTTCAGGTAATGCATTCGATTTGTTTAGTTCTATAATATTATTGAACAACTTCGTTCTTTGTTTTTTCTAGATGCTAAATCAACTGGTTCAGTATCGAATCAAAGAACAGGTGAAAAACTTTTCGGTCCAAATTATGATTCACCAGCAGGACAAAATATGAATAATAAAGTTGATCCATTACATTTAAATGTTGCTATCGATCGACAACAAGCTTATCGACCAAACGATGCACGTCGAGATGAAGCTGTTAATACAGTTGATTCAACATTTCGAAGGTAGAAACAATGAATGCTTATCATTTAATACAATTTTCTGGTTTTCTAAATTATATATACATTTGCGAATAATCAAACAAATGAGTTCAATTTTGGTCATTTTAATATAAGATATACCGTAATCTAATATCATTCCTAGCACTCATGTCATACTGTGCACGTGTTTTATTCAGCTATCAATCATTTTAAAATAAAAATTTTAGTATGGATTGGGTAATAACAGCCAGCATAGATACAATGTTATTTATCATATTTTAACATTGAAATTATACGTTTAAGGTATTTTTAGGTGTCTTAGACATGTACAGGGTAAGCTTGTTTCGTACCTTGTAACCTGATTTAGAAAAATTTTCTTACTCTTACCTTACCCTACGAAGTTTTTATCTCCTTTTCGCTTAATAACTACCCTAATTGGAAAATTCTAAAACTGATAAATAACAAAATAGTATCACGGTTCAGATGTGCAGGACAAACATTTTCTTCGTAACGTCTAAGAAAAATTTTCCAATCCTTATCCTATCCTTCTCTGCATATTTCTAAGATAGAACTAGTAGTATAAAATAACATTCTCATCAACTGAATATCTATTGTTCATTAGTTTTATAATATGTTTATTATGATATACATTGCTAATCCCTCTTATTTATCGTATTACAACTAGCACAATCTGTAAACAGTTATGGTTCTCTTGGTTACTTGATTCAATATTTGATGAAAAATAACCTTCTGATTGTGAGAACGTTGATTGTTTGCACAGAAAACTTAGTAATTATTCTAATTTTTAAAAAATAATTGCTAAGCTTTTAGCTTATTTTACGATACTTAAAACGATTGGAAAACTTATATATGTCGACTGTCAAAACATACACTTTTATTTCTATGTACGAGGTAGTCAAAAAATCATTCTGATTAGCCAATTTATTACTTAATCCTTTAACAATTGTTTCTAGTTTTTATTTCCGAACAGATTCCCCACATTTTGTCACAATTCGCACGAGAATTCAGTTGAATTTAGAATTCGTGAATTAATTGAGACCAATTTATAATAGGAATAAAGCTTTATAAACAAAATGAACAGACTGATTTCTAAGAATTTTTTTCTTTTCTTATACTATCGAAAACAAAGGATTCAAACTTTGCTAAGAATGATTATGCATCATACACCATCGATTATAGTATTAAGACAACAAATTTAGCTTGCAATGTCTTTCGTGCTTAAAACGATTTATTATGCTTTAATATCATAATTATAAGGCGCACATGTCGTGCAACACACCCTTGTTCTTTAAAGCCCTCTGCATCAATTTCCTTGCCGTTTGAATAAATACTTAAATAAAAAAAAACAACATTTTTTCAACAATTTTCATCGATCATGCAATGTCCCGGAATGAAAAGAAATACATCAAAAATATTCAGTCGATATAAAAACAAAAACAATAAGACTATAAAATATTGAATTTCGACCAATCATTCCATGCTTCAGAAATAAAAAAGTGTTATTGAAATAGAGTTTTTATTGAATAAAATAAATATAGTCAAGTTATTATTGTTTATTTATAGAATAACAATCTAGTAATGAGACGATAGACAAATAAATTTTATTATCTGGTTCACAAAGACAAGGACTCTAGAAAAAATCATGACCCTAGTTTTTCAGCTCCAAGAACGCATAAATATAAGGACATTACTAGATAATATCGTAAACCTGCCACCCCCGTTTGTGCTATATTCGATGGATCAGAAATAGAGAAGATGAAGTTCTGCGTTTTTCCGTCTATTTAGTTTTTGTTTTATTGAATGTCTAAAAAAGTTTTCGAAATATACATAATCAAAGATGATCTATCAGTTTTGAGCTTACTTGGTAATAACTATGGTAATCATAATTATTTCTTTTCTAAACGCAGTATGAAATCTAATAGTGTAAATTGGCATTGTGTTCATATTTACGATTAACTTGTGTCTTAGATTATGTAGGATCATACAGATGTCATGTATGATCCTACATAATCTAATACAGAAATTAATAGTAAATATGATTCACATATCAATATACAGAGCATAATAAAACGATGTCGATCTACATTTCTAATTTTCCTACTGAGTTTGCAAAAGAAAAGGTTATGGTTACTATAGTTATTATCGAAAACGCCAGAAAAATGTAGAATTTCATGCTCTATCTGTCGAACCTGTTGAAAATAACATCTACGAGGATGACAGACTTACGATCTTATCCGAAAGCAACCTTTTTTTTTGGACTATATTGAACGTTCTGAAAGTCTCTGAAGTCGTGCTCTTACTGTTTTTTATAACAAACAATCTTTTGACCTTCAACTAAATTGTCGCATCTTAGTCAAAAAATGTTGTAGAAAACTGGAAGAAGTTTCACGTTGTAGAAAGTTGTTTCTTCTATCATTTTTTTTTGTAGTTTAAATAAAATTATATTTACGCTTTTCTTTATTCGATTCACTGTTTGGAGTCTTTCTAGCGCTTACGGCTGTGGAGAAAAATTGAAAATAAGCCTTGTTGAACAATTTTGGTACTCAATATTTGTGTTACTATTTCATATAGCACATTAGCTGCAAAAATGACAGTGAGCTTGTTCGAGATTTGAATAATAACATGTATGCTTTGATTGCCAATCTGTGTTTGATAAAAAAATTGTCACAGCTGCTAAATTCATTGCAAAAAAACTTAGTCGCAAAAGAATCAAAGTTCAGTACCTTCAAAGAAACACATCACTGTTTTAAGAGTTGGACAATAAATCGTATATAGTCTGAAACTAGGACTTCTGTTCTATCAATTTATAAGAAAAGTTTTCATTCAGAAGAAATAATTGTTGTTCTTATGCTAAGTGTCTTCAGTAAAGTTGATCGCCGCTTTGTTGTACTTATTCTGTATCGACGAAATCTTCAGAGAATGTTTTTTTTTCATCTCTGGAACATACAATCAGTTAGTGCAAATGCTTCTGAATTGAGATACAGAAATATCTCCAACACATATAACTTGAAAACTTTTATTCTAATTGAAACAGTATCATAAGGAAAGTAAAGTGTTATTGAATTACGGTGTATCTTACATTACACAAAAAGATTTCTACTTACCGGTGTTGTAAATAATAGCCTATCGAACTAATATTCAATGTTGATTTATTAATTTTTATTATTTATATTTTTGTTTAAAGTGATCATAGTGTTCAAACTGATTTTCGAGCATTACCAAATCGACAAACAAATCCATATGCTTATGAAGAATCTGATTTACCTCCTCAAGTTCCAAATCATCATTTTCGTAATGCAGGTTATCGTAATATACCAAATCAACCAGGTAAAAAAAATCCTCGTATGCGTTCACTTGATGATAATCATTCATCACGACGTGCATCATCAATTTATCAAACAAATTCAAATGATGATGGTACAATATCACAAATGAGTAATCAACATAGTTCTCATGTTCCAATTGATATTCATCATCGTCCATTATGGAATTATAATAATCCTGAACATCGTGAATATATTCCTAATTCTAAACGTGATCCACATTATGAAAAACGACAACGTCTTAAACATTTTGAACAAGGAAATTTTGATCGTATTGATGATGTACAAAAGAAGACATGTTATAATCGTTGGAATAGTGATAGTGAATTAGAACAAAAACAAAAAAAATCCATACCAACAAATCGTATACGTTCAACAGTATCCAAAACTTCAACATATGGAAATCATAAGGATGAAAGTATTATGAATTTACTTAAAGTACAAAATAAATATCAACAAGATTCTTTTGGTGCAAGAAAACCATCATCAATACATACAAAAACTGATGAAGATTATAATTCTAATCATGGATCATCATTAGATAAATATGAAAGTTATATACCATATACCAGAAATGATGACATACTTGATCGAACTAAAATTAATTCACCATCATCACAATCAAGAGAAACATCACCACATAAAGAATTAACAGAAGTACGTATAAGAATTAATTAAATCTTCTATTTAAACAATTTTTATATTTCATATTTAGTTTTGATAGTAAATAGTAATCAAAATTCTCTTTGCTCATGTTTTTTTTTTGCTGTATGATTTTGCTCGAATTTTGCTTATTATTTTAATATCTTAGACTAATACAAATGATAATTATCATCAACAACGAGAATGGGATAATACAAGTCGACAATATCCGCTTGTTCAATCACCACAATATAATGCATCACAATCAAGACAAGAACATATTCTACAACAATTATCAGCTATTAAAGAAGTTTGTATAATGTTTTATTAAGAATTTATATTTATTTACCTTTTTCTTTTTTTCTATAGAATTTGATTCGTCGACAACGAGAACTTGCTACTTAAGTGAATGTTATTTCAGTTTAATATAATTATTTCGCTAAGCGACTCGTTTTTCTTTTTTGGTCTCATTAATAGTTACCAGTTTTTTTTTTCTTCCTTGGGTTGTGTTTGTTCATTCTTTTCTTTTTTTTCTTGTGTGTGTTTAATTTTTCAATAACTTTGAATATTTGACCAAAGTATTTGACTATACAATAAATGATGTTTATGGCTACAGCATATATTTGCTGATGACATAAGAACTCTTCTTTTCTTGATGACATACGTCTCTCCAAGGACATTGAATAGCATGAAGCAAAAATATACAGAAATGATAAATAGATAGTAGAGTGGCATATAATAATAATCTCATACGTTTTTTGTTGTTTCCTGTTCTATTAGTAGTCGGGATGCATAAATATTAACAAGAAGTATTGTTTGAAACTAACAGAGTGTTATTGGGGAGAATCAAGGTAATGGAGGAGCTAATAACAACTATTGGTAAGCGAAATTTGTCATTATTTGTCAAGTTGAAAATCTTATACGAATATTTATTCTTTTCCCGATGAAGGAATAGGAACATTTAGTAGAGTTATTTTGACACGTCAATGTACGGATGAATATGAAGAATATCATGCATTGAAAATAATGGCTATACGTGATATAATACAAATGAAACAAGTCAATCATGTTAATGATGAACGAACAATTCTTGCTAATGTTGATCATTCTTTTATTGTTCGTTTGTAAGCTTAATATTCAATTTTTTTTGTTTTTTCTCTTCATATAGTCTAAATTGAAATATATTAAGAATATTTAATAATGATTTTTAGTTATGGATCATATCGAGATAGTCGCTATTTATATTTATCGATGGAATTTTTGCCAGGTGGTGAATTATTTTCTTATTTTCGTCAAGTTGGCCGTTTTACAGGACCGATTGTCAGATTTTATGCTTGTGAAATTATACTTGCTTTGGAATATTTGCATAGTCTCTCCATTGTTTATAGGTAAAATAAAAGCTCAAGAGTATTTTTCTTTCTTTCATTCGATAATTTGTTTTTTTTTCTATTTTAGGGATCTTAAATTGGAAAATCTCGTACTTGATATTACAGGACATCTCAAATTAACTGATTTTGGTTTTGCAAAATATGTACAAGATAGGTAAATAGAAAAATAAAGTATAAATTTTGAACTGTCAATGTGAAAATTGTCTGTCAACAGAACATTTACAGTCTGTGGTACACCTGAATATCTTGCACCTGAAATGATTCTCACATCTGTTGGTCATTCATTTGGTGTCGATTGGTATGCATTAGGTATTCTCATTTATGAACTACTCGTAGGACGAACTCCATTTGCACCAACTGATCATCAAAATCATCCATCATTTGTTTTTATTAAAATTTTAAATGCACCTATTCCTTGGCCATCTCAACAAGGGTAAGTAAAACATCAGCATCAAACTGCTTAATTATACTTACGTACATGTATGTATATATAGAATTGTTGATCGAGTTGCACGTTGTTTAATTCGAAAATTACTCGAACGAGATCGAACACGTCGTCTTGGCTGTATGGCAGGTGGAGCAAATGATATTAAAGAACATCCATGGTTTAAACATATCTTATGGACTGATATTATGGAACGAAGAATTGAAGTAAAAGAAAATGGAATTTGATTTTTTTTTAATAAAATTTTATTACTTTGTACAGCCACCAATTATACCAAAAGTTGATTATCCAGGTGATACACAAAATTTTGAATTATTTGAAGACGAACCTCTTCAAGCACCAGAATGTACACAAGAAGAATATGATTTATTTGATAAATTTTGAATTGTATATATATGAATCAATTAGAAATAGAAAATAATACATTTTCATTTTCGTTTCTTTTCTTTTCTATTACATTATATAATCGAAGAATATGATTGATTTAATACATTGATTGAAATGCGCATTTTTTATTTGACAAGTGACTATAATTAAATAATTTACTAACAATTATTTATCGAAATACATAGTAGTCGATAGAAGTTCCACTACTGGATAAAAATTACATAACTATTTTGCCTGATATTTTGATTGCAAATCGAGTTCGATAAACCGTGATTGCAAACAGTAATCCGAGGTGGATAGGACTTAATGCAAAGGGTTTACGATGAAAACACTGTGTTTTTTTCTTTAGGGTTCAAAACAAGACTTTTTTGACACTCTTCTGGTTTTTCACTATTTAAATGTGTTAATCTGCATTTTCTTATTACGAAAGAAAGATTTGAATATCCGTTTTTTGTCATAGATAGAGCACTTCAATTCGCTGTAATCTTAAGGCACGGAAACGCCTTCATTATCGGAGGCAGTCGTAATATTGATTTATTCTCTGCTGATGACTGTGATCAAGAAATTTTCGAGACCAGTAGCTAAAATCAGATGGAGATATTGGTCATTGTTTGATGATTTCTATCATCTCTCATGTGCGAACTACCCAACGTCTTAACGCGATGATATTTTTTTTCTATGTTCAAATATCCTTGTCTGAAGAAATAATCTATGTTGACCTTCTAGCTCCTTTGTATGAAGGTCAATCAAGTCTTGATTAATCTTTGCAATTAGAATTCAACATACTCTACTTATGGTCAATTTAAGAAACTAAAGGATTAAAGTTTAAGTACTTTTTATCTGGTAGTGAGACTTTTTGCGACTACTTTAGTTAACTAAAGATGTATCAATATTTATTTTTCATTGAAACTGTGAATGATTATGGGGCAAAATAAATGAAACACAATGTCAATTTTTTTTCTAACGGCGTTTGTTAGAGAAAATTATTAACAACTAATAAGTGATTTCGAACAATAAGACTTTTTCTAGCAACAGAAGTTAGTGAAATCTGACATTTTAGAGTTAAGTAAACCCTCTACAAAAGTATATTTTATTCAACTAAATATTAAACATTATGTGAAAAACTTCATTGGATGTTACAGAGGAAAAATCCAGTAAAACTTGTGTATAAAATCTATAGTTTTGTAACTGAAATATTTTGATACCATTAGAAAGCTCTCGTCTTTTTTACGTTAAGTATTATGATGACCATAAAATTCTAACCGCAATTTCCATAATAAAACTTCCCGCTCTTCAGCAGTCGCATGTTATTAATGTCATTTATTCATTTATACTTTTCTTTTATTATTTATGCATAGTTTGAGTAAAAGCACACTAGCATGTACAGAACCAGGAATCACTGCCGGTCGATTGATGTCCATACGTAATATCTATCTTCGTCAAGAATTATCTACTATTTCTGATGAAATTCAAGAGAACTATAAAGACCGTTTACCCTTACTTCATTTAGTATCACTTGCAGCTTACGAACAAGTTTTTAATAGACAGGTAATATAATATAAAAATTTGAAGAAGTGCAAAGTTTATTCTAAAAATGACAGCCATTATCACTTCCTGAAGATTTACGACGAGATGCTGTTAAATATGGACTTAAATATTATCAACTTAACATCGAGAAATTAGTAAGCTGAAATCATGAATAATGAAGAGAAAATCTGAAAGTTTGTATTATAGCGAAAGGCAGAAATAGAAAATGGTCTTCTTCAGATTCATGATAGACAATCCAACGTTGAGAAAGATTCGAATATTATTCAATCAAATCACAATCTACCAGCGAAAGATCAAATAAAGGAAAATCAATCAAGTTTACAGACTTCAATATCATTAAACAAAACGAAAGATGAAGATACATCATATGACTCATTTCAAACAGATAATAAATTTGATTCAATTTCTACTGACATAGAAAACATTGAAACATCTGCTTCATCTGATGAGTCTTCTACTATTATAGCAAATAAAAATGATATTTCATCGAATTTAACATTCCCTTCTATCAATACTTCCTCTTCATTAATTGATACATCTAGTGATACGAAATTAAATTCTTTCAACACTGACCCATTAATGACAAGTAGATCCAACGGATCGATGACAACCAGCCAGACCGATCAATCATCTACTTCTATCAAAAAACTTTCTCGTACAAAACCACCAAAGATTATTGTACGTCGACCATCGAATCATAGTCTAACATCAATCAATAATGATGATTCATTAATGACAATTGATAGAAATGAAACACCGGCTGAAGAACAAACAATCGACGTTCATTATCTATCAGCACATAAACGAAAAAGCAAAAAACAACGAAAACATAAAAGGGATTAATATTCTATTTAGACGACTTAAAGAAACTGATCGTGTTGAAGTTTATTATTTCTTTCCAGAGCTTACCTTATACAGAAAGTACAAATTCAAAAGTGATTGATTAGTTACAAATGTGCTCTTGTTAGTTGCGTAACTAGAAAAAAAGTGGAAGATGGAGTGGTGAAGCTTCCACAAGAGATTTCAGTTCCTCCTTTTAAACTGCACTCAACTATTAATAAATAAATTTTAAATACTCTGAAGAGAATTGAAGCCCTTAGTTTATTGATCCGGAGATACTACAAATCTATGATAGTTTTTAAATGAATGTCGTAGTTCTCCTCAGGCAACACTGATTAGTGACTTGAAACTTTATACAACAATATATATCTTAATGAGAATATTTTATGGTGGAAGTTTCGGATCGTTTGATTTGCTTCTATCTTGAAAGAAGAGCAACAAATTTACTGTTAAATATGCACGATGTGTTAAGACACTTTTACTATACCTATATTTTAAAATAGGAACAACGATAAAATGTGAAACTATTTCTATTACAGATTGTCTATATGCAAAGTTGCAAATTGAAATTCAAAAATCAATTCTTCTGAGAGATCTAGATTGTGTTCATCTACAATAAATATATGTATTGTTCACTAGAGGTCGCTATAATATGTTTGCCTGAATCTCATCTATTTTTTTTTATTGACATTTTCTTATTAGACCATCTACTATCTTTGTTTGCCGATGTTTTTCATTTTTTTTAATTTATTGTTTTTAAAAATATCAATAGAGGTATTGACAGTTCGTTTTCATTTGGTTATTTATGAGTCATTTAATCATATAGATATATTTGCCCCCCTACGCTATTTGTCGTCTATTACGCATAGGGTAATGATCATACGAACGTTTTATTTGTCATTTTATCTTTGTATTCTAAATTACATATCTACAACCCATTTAAAAGAGTACAATATTTAAAAAGTGCCAATTGATTTCTACATTTTAGATTAACGTCAGTTAATACAACTCTAAGAAGATATTAATAAGAATGTTATCAAGTGTGCGTCGTTTTTTCAAATTTATTCATTGGTTATATCTTCAATATCTTCTTAATACGGCATTGTATATGCTTGAACCATGGGAACGTGCACTTTTTTCAACATTATTATTTGCTATTATATCTACAGCCGTTTATTCGGCTTTAGTTTTTCTTCCAGTTCATGTTCGTTCCATGATACAAATTTATACATGATCCAAAACACAAAACATTTATCGTAAACATTCTTTTTTTTTTCTTTTTTCGAATGAATAGGAGCTAAATCTCATACATCTCATATGCCAGTTTATTGTGTACATTTCGTCAAGGTTACGTAATAAAAACAAAGAAAATAACTATAAAACTCATTTCTTTTATAATTTAAAAACAGAAAAATTAATAAGTTCATTTGAGTATAATTTTTCTTTTTTGTGAATATCGGTAAATCGAGAATTGGTCTTAGAAGACAAAAATAAATATTTAACCACTTGTAGATTTAATACGTGACTCTCCAAAAAAAAAGATTAAATCTACGTTGAATAAGAAGTTGTTGTTTATCACGAGTTTCGGTATACAGATGATTCATTTTTCTCACGATCAAAGTAACGGAAAATATGATTAATTTCTTCATAGCTATGAATATTTTTTCTTTTATATTACGTCATAACTTGTTAGTTAACGATAGAGAATATTTTCGATGAATTAAAAACTATGATGTTTTGCTCGTTTTGAATTTGGTTTGAATTTTTGTTTTTCTTAAATACTCATTTTTGCATAATCGACAACTGTTTTACATTGAAAATAGGTTTTGGAAAGATCTTTGGGTAAAAACTACAGCTTAGTTCAATATTACATTTTGTACAGAAGTGTCCGCTATACAAAATAACCGATTCCGACAATTTTTAAAGATGTTTGAAAACGAACTTATAGAATAGACAAAACTCTATTAGATTACCATTGAGAATAACTTTTCAGGTCTTTCAAAAAGTCCTACAAAAATGGATACAACATTTCCAACGTGGAAAAATCCCAACTGACACCTGCCATTTGATTTGATATTGGATTTACAGACAGCTCTCAGTGAGAATAGCGAAAGCCTAAAAGGATTCATTTGCATGGGCTTTTGATGCCGAGTTATGATCAATTTATTAGCTTTTTTTTGATTCATTTTTAGGTACTTCGCGGAAGATCGAATAATGCAGTTTTGATTCAAAATTTTACCAATGAATAGGTCTACAGAATCTTACCAGGGAACATAGCCAACTGTTAATCGCCGATCGAAATGATATGCTGCACATGAGTAGACCTCAGTGAGACTAAGAAAAGCCTAAATGGATTCGTTCCCATAGATCTTCATTCTGGAGTTATGACCATTTTACCGGGTTTCAGTGTAAGACAAGATATTCAAAGAAAAATAAAACAAAAGGAATTTTTATCTGAAGTTTTTCTCATAAATAGATTATATGATCTTTTAACATCCTGAAAGTTTCAGCCAAAACGGGTGATTCCTTCTCAAGATATTGAATATTCAGAAAACAATCATATGTTATAAAAAGGGTCATAAAAACAACTTTTTTCAACATTCAATATCTCGCACAGAAACATTCTTTTCAATTGAAACTTTCAGAACGTGATAAAGATGATATAAAATATTTATGAGAAAAATTTCGTATGAATATTCCTTTTTTTTATTTTTTTCTTTGAGCACCTTGTCATAAATCCAGACGACAAACCTATTGGAACGAATTATTTTAGACTTTTCCTGATCTCATTGAATCCTACGCATGAGCAAAATATCCTTTCGATCGGCGATTAACAGTTGAATATGTTTTATTATCGATTTTTTTCAATTTTCAACTGAACTCGATTTTTGTGACACAAAACTTTTTTTTAGAAACTGAATGTCTTTATGAAGGAAGATTATTTTCAGCTGAAATTTTCTCGTTATTTCTAGGATTCATCAGACCTATCAATAGGCAAAACCTAAGACTAAAATTTTGTTAGTCAGTCGTTTAAGGAGTATCAAAAAATGGATGAAAACTCAGTAAACCACTTCTAATTTGACATTAAAAGTTACTAGAGAGAAATCCTTTTAGGCTTTTGCTAGTTTCGTTTAGACCGACTTGTGAGTACAATATGAACTCAAACGATGAGTTTCATTTTGTTTAGTTTTCTCATAAGCCTCGTCGGAAACGTTAGCTCACAAGTTCTGTTCAAATTAATTTTTTGGGTTTTTTAAAGAGTCTCGAACAAAATTTCTAAGAACGCATTGAGAATGACAACAAAATTATAGCTTTTAACACATCGGAAATACTTTCCAGCGTGTCAAAAGTGAATAAACATCTTGTCTAAAAAGTTTCCGCACACTCATCACGCAAGAGATCTATTGAATTTTCTAGAAAAGTATAAGTAAGTTTTAGATTTTCATTTATGAAATACTTCTAAATAGTATTTTATTCAGGGTGTGGGATGGATGGGCGGTAACTCTATGCAGACCGAATTGACCCTTCTGGATTTCGTGGTTATTGTACTTTGTACCCGTACTTCCAAAAATAGATGTTTACCCTCCTAGAGAGAAAATCTGAATGAATCACTACTCCTCAAAGGTAAATAAGCTTTAAAAATGAAAAAAAGTTTTTGGTCATCACCTTTCATTAGTGAATTTCATATGTAAAATAAGAAAATAATAATTGTATTTGTCAATTTAAACCAATCAAAGTTTAGTATACTCATTTTGAAATCAAAACTAATATTTTCAAGAAATTGATATATTTCTAAGAATATTTTTTCTCATAGAGTTTTCTTCATGATATCTATAAGATTATTCAATGAAAATAAAATGTTTACCTATACAAAATGTATGTTTTTTTACCTCTGCTTGCCTACTCTGTCGCTTACTTTTTATGCAATGTAAGAAATGACTTGAGCGAACAAATCACTGAAATATGTAATGATGCATGGTTGGTGTCGTTGACTTTTTTCTTTCTCTTTTTTTCTGTCGGTATTAAACATCTATACATTTTTTTGTATCTTTCTTCTTTTCTTTTAGAATTATTATTTAGTATATCGTGTATTGTAATTAGGCCTTGAACAAACGATACGTGTTTCTTATCAAATATATTTTCTTGCTTTTTTTTCTTTCTTACGTTCATAATTACTTTTCTACTCTACTTATTTTTCTATTTTGTTGTCATATTGGAAACTGAATTGTGTTACCTTCGCTTTTAAGCTTAATATTTTTCTCTTCTTTGTATTTGAAACGCGATGTTCCTAGACTTTGACGTTTACTATTGCACGAACGAAATCGCTTTTTCTTTTAACTTAGATGCGTTGCTGTGGTAGCTCTCTCTTAGATTTTTTTTTTCTATTTTTTTCTTCATGTGATCTTGTTTATATATATACCCATACAAACATACACACATACAGCCAAAACGCACATTAACTCAGTGAAGAGCGCGTCACACGATAAAATATAAAACAATTTATCGGTCGTCAACGATGAGTATTACAACTCGTACTTCGTATTTGGATTCATTCACGATGGACAATGATGATTTAACGGTAATCTATAACCTACTATCAATAAGTTGAAAATCGAAAAAAAAAAGATGAGAGATTTACTTTTTCAATCATGTCAAAGGCTTCATTGAAATTGTCGTTTTTCTTTTGTTCCTATTACAGACAAATTTTCTAAGACAACAAGTAGATTAGTAATATCTCATGATATTTTTATTGTATCTTATTTATTTTTTTTTCTATTCATAGATCAAAACAAATTTACAACAAAAAAAATCTTGGTATGATTCAGTATATCAAGATATTCAACGTTTATATATACAATTTCTGTTGATGACAACACTTTATGTGATGGAACCATGGGAACGAATGCTTATAATTTGTATTTTTCTTGGCATCATCTCACTAGTTACTTTTTCGGCTCTTGTTTACATTCCATTTCACATCCATTATATATTACAATCGACAATGCCAAGTATCTCTACTATATTGATACCTTGATGAACATTGTTTAAAACATGACCTTTTGACAAATTGCACGTAGCAACTATTATTTTCATCAAATTTTCGATTGTTTTATTTTGTGTTTTTTCTTGCATTTTTGTTTTAACAAAAAAACGAAAAATGACTTCATTGTGATTCATTTTTTTTAATATTTACCCGTTTACTAAATAGATTCGGACTTAGAAAAAAAAAGAGAAAATGAAGAAATTCTATTGGTAAAAAGCCAATTTATTTCTATATTGAAGGGTGGTTATACAAACATCGATCATTTGCTCGTTATTTTTTTTTTTCTTTCCTTTTCTTTTCTATTACCGAAATAGATGAGCACACGTGAAGCTGTACTGTTTTGTACTGTTGATATTATTATTCATACAAGATACATCAATTAAACACGTCATATTTCAGTTTTTTGCATTTGTTTTAGATCGTGTTTTTTATTTATTTATTTATTGTGTTGTAACTATAATGGATATTGACTCTGAACCTTTATCATCAACGGCCGGCATGTCAAATTTAGACGAAGATTTAATGGAAAGATTACGATCAATTACAACATGTAATCGTGAAGATTTAATAGCACAATTTCGTTCGACTACCAATGCTATGTTAACAGATGAAGGTTGCGCTTTTTTTCTCGAAATGAGTAATTGGTACATTGAACAATGAAAAATAAAATTTTTAAAAGAAAAAAAAAATGTTGCTCTTTTTTTTTAAATTAATATAGGAATTTAAATGAAGCTATTCTTGCTTATTATGATGCTGAAATGCCAACAGATAAAATTCCTCAAATGCGTTTTGTTGCTGATGTAACTGTTGGTGAAGGTGAAGCCATTCCACCAAATACACGATTTGTAAAAACTTGGCGAGTTGAAAACTCTGGTAATTTGCTTATTCTTTTTTTCGCTGACGAGTTTGTAAACATTGTTTATTATTCAATCATTTTAAGGTAACGAACCGTGGCCAAGTAATTGTTCATTACGTTTTGTTAATGGTGATCGCTTACAAGATCGAGATGAAATTTACGTTGGATCATTAGCACCAGGTGAACAAGCAAATATTTCCGTTGATATAACTAGTCCGGCTGTTTCAAAAATTATTAGATCACAATGGCGTCTATTCACTTCGGCTGGTGTCCCTTTCGGAGGTAAAAGACGAATATAAGTATTACAGTGATTTTTGACTTAAATACTATTGTATGCCGCTTACTAGGAAACTATTTCAGATAAAATCCTTCGTTTGAGTTTTTTTTCTATTTTCACTGAGACCTTCGCGTGACTCCAATACGAACTCGAGCGAAGGGTGTTACTTGGGATATTTTCTCTATCAAACGTCAATAGGGTGGGCAACTTTCGCCATATTCGATTGTAGTCACGGCGAAGGTGGCATCCTCTGTTGATGGTACGCAATAAAATTTGATAATGCATGTACTATTATATAGAGAAAGCCTCGTTCTACTTTTCTAAATATATTTTGTTTGCGGGTCAAAACCTTATGAATATTTCTGAGAAAAATTGATTATTTTATATTCGTTTTAGATCCAATATGGCTAATTGCCAGTGTGGAGGAAGGTGGTTTAATGGGTATAACTCAACAACTTGAACAATGTCATTCACTTGGTATGAATGTTAATTATCCACAACAGATGAGCAATCAAATAGGCGGTATGCCACCGTCAAATAATTTATTATGTCAAACATCTTCTACAAATCCATTTCAAAATACGAGATGTAAATGAAATGATTTACGAAGAAAAGATAGTTTATTACATCTTTTTATTTAGGGCCTACGTCAGATGCCAATAATGCAGCTGGCTGGACGAATTATCCAATTGTACCTGTTACAGTAAGTTTGATGACATTGAAAAAAAAAAATAGAAATAACAGTTTCAATAATAAATATTATAGGAATATTCTCGAACGAGCAATATTAATCATCAACCACCGGATCCATCATCATCATCAAATGGAATGATTGATGATAATTCTTTAGACACATATTAACTGACTAAAGGTTCATCTATTGTTGTGCTAGTCGAAACCGAGTGCGTGTTTACAATTAAAAAAAAAGAAAATTCTTTATCTTCGTCCTTTTTTTTTTGATATTTTGTTAAAAATTTGACCATCACACTAACACAGAGAGATTTATCCGTATTTTTGTTTACTATTTTTCTTTTCGATTCTTATAAATATATGTTTGATGAGAAAAAACTGTTACCAACTATTTATGTAGATAGAAATTCGTCTATTGACAAGTAAACATTAATTTTTTTTCTCTTTTTCGTTGCAACATAAAACTGTTTATTGATTTCTTTCTTTCTTTCGTTACTCCTTTTCTTTTTATACACATATACATTACAAACTCGCATTCAAACAGACACAGTTACAACGATAGATGTTTCTTTTTCTTTTTCTTTTTTTTTCATTTTTTTTTGCTGTTGTTTCCTATTTGATAATACTGTATATTCAAGATGAACTATCCGAAGAATTTAAACAAAATTTAAACTAGTTAATCAAAAGAATTCATATTCATGTTAGTTTGGCAGCAAATCAGTGGTTATTTGCTTTTTTTTTTGGGGGGGGGGGGAAGGGTACATATTGATCTTTAAACTCTTATGTTAGCAATGTATATTTGCTCCAGAACAACCAATCTATCTAAAATTTATACTAAGGGTCAAAAAGGTGCGCGTAAGTCGCTGCGACTAACTTTTGGATAAAACTTCCAATCGTCATCACCAATGCTCAAGTGATTCAACTCACACCACCTTGAGTCAATGCATCGGCTTACATGTCTCTCCAGATTTCTTTCCCAAGTCTAGTGATGCAAACGTTAGAGACTACTGAGATTTATCATTTTACAGATCTGTTTTATCAAACGGATATATCCATTAAAAGCATATACAATTTTTTAACGATATCAAAAGAAAATCAAATCGCCAATGGGTCAGTTCTCATCCTCAGCTAGATGTCTATTTTGAGCTTACATACTTCCGTTCGATAAAACCATGTTTGAATCTTAAAAACCAACAATCTAGAATTAATTTGAAATTTCTGACGGGCGAGGCCGGAGCTTAAGTCCTACAATATAGGTTAATCATATATTTTACATTATCTTCTAAAAAGTTATACTATTTTATTTGTATTTATTAGCATAACTTTTCAAAAGATAATGTAAAACATATGATAAGCCTATATTATAAAATTTCTAGGTAATACAGTCGTCTTATCAGAATAGACTGATTGGCATTGCTTGAGACTAAACCCATCATCAAACGGAATACTAGATTATTCTAAAATAATCTCATTATGAACAAAAGCAGTTGCAATATGAATCACGATTACAAAACTTTTAATATTATTGATTTCAATTAAATAAAAGAAGAAAAAGACATCTCAAAAAATTGCTCATTTAGTTATAAAGAACTATAAAATTCAAAAATGTACATATTTTATTATTAAGAATGATGTAAAATCATAAATTAGTTTTCTATGTAGTAGCAATTCTTACTCGTACAAGATATTTAGAGAAGTCAAATGAAACATGAGGATTATTTAATACAAAGAGAAACAATAATCAATTTGTTGCTGCAACATATTCAAAATGCTGACTTTATGAATCCTCTACGTTCACCTTGTGAATAGACCTATCAACGACTGAAATAATAAAAGACAATGCCTTTTAAATGATGATAACTATTTGGCTGTTGTATACAAAGCTCAACGACATGTAAAGTCGAAATATTTCTATTCTTCATAAGCATATCGAATTGGTCAAAAAAGGTGTTTTTTTTAAGGATATTAATCATAATTAAACATGACATAACTAAAAATTCAAATAATTTTAGTGATTTGTTAGTCTTGGAAAGTAACTTAACTAGAATGCCTATAGGTACTATGAGATAGCTAACAAAATATGATCTAAAATGTAAATAATTCTAAGTGCATGAAAATAGACTTAACATATATGCATGTATAGTTAACTACAAAGAATGACGAAACATTTGAAAGTGTACTCAAGGTTGCCAATAACTCAAACTATATTAAGTTACGGATACCTGTAAAACTGCAGACATCCATTGACACAGCTAAAATCATATGGACATTGATGGCTACTTTAGTTTTTACTCGTACAAGATCTTTTACAATTAAATATCAAGGTAGCCTAGAGTGACAGTTAAGTACGTGTAAAAATCATGAACATCTATGATTACCTTGGTTCTAATTGTAAAAAAATACCGATAGTTGTCTTGATGTTTATTTGTGAAACATTTTTCATAATTAAAAATCGAAGCGACGATGGGTGTCCGAAGTTTTTACCGGTACTTCTAGGTTACAATTGACAAACATGAAAGACTTGCGCTCAAGAATATGAATATTAGTCAAACAAATACAAAAACTGTTAGTGCAATTTCTGTGAGACTAAAATGTGAAACACGACAAAGCTGTCAATGCTAATCATAGAAAGATTGTTTTATTCTAAGTGTCTTGAGACACATTTCTTCACTATCCTTCTATGTAATCCTTCAGAAATAGAACAAGGAAGTAGTTCGTAAAGTATAACGAAACATTATTGATATACAGTCTGTGATCGCATATCAACAACATCTGTCATAGAATGTGATGGGTTCTCAAGGTGTCTATGATGGCTTGTGATGACTGTTTGCGGAGAGTGGAGAACCACAAATCCTTTTTGTCTCTTACGTCCTCCCTATATTTCATAGAAGAAAGTGTTCGAGAAGTCTAAGTACATAACCATTTTTGCTTTACTAATCGAAATTTATCGGTCCCGAAAATTTTACAATATTTGATCAAGTCGTTCTTGAGAGACCCAAGAAAATGAACGCATATGTTTGCATATGACCTTTCGGTAATCTATTATTTATACGTTGACAGTTCTCAATCAATGAAAAGTAACCATTCCGAAGAGTTCACTTTAGAAAGCTGCAGCATTGTTCACTATGAAATAAAGAAAATTTTCAAAAAAATTCACTTCTATATTAGTTATAGATAAAGACCTGATTCTTATTCATCCATATTTCATCGAAATGACTTGAATTGAAAGATTTTTTCAGGTATAATACTATTGTACAAACCATTTGTACACTTGATCGTTTAGTTTTTGTACATTGACATCCTTTTATTTGAGTCTATCACTTTGATTCTGATGTATTTCATAATCATTTTTAATATTCTGTTTTATGCTTTGAAATATTTGATACAGAGCTGAATGATGTAATATATCTTTCAGCAAATTTACCTTATGACAAATCATTATTATGAATTAATCGTATATTTTGTTACATAAGTAAGCTCATGTCGTGAGGTCATTAGTTACTTTACACGTACAACAGTCGAATCATATACAAAATGGGTTCGTAGTGCATAGGTAACAGAGGATAGAAAAGAGAAAGAGATCAAAATAAAAACATGTTCACATTAGAAAGGTATTAACAGCAAAACCAATCGTAAAAATTGATCACTAACAAAGATTTTACTGTAAATTGTCCTATAGTTCTTTTATTTCATACACACACAACTAAATATATATTCTTAATAAATGCACACATCAATTTTCACATAAATTCATCTTAAATATTTTCTTTTTTTTATTTGTTTAAGCGAATGACAAAAAAGAATTCATAAGGAAAAATTCCACATAGTAGCAAAAAGAAAAACAGGAAAATTTGTCACATAAAAAAAAGCAAACAACAATAACAAAGTACAATCTCTTTTATTTTTAATTAAGTTTCTTCTTTATTTGGATTATCATGCGTGAGAAATAATGTATGCTGAGCACCAACCGCTATATTAAGAACCATTTTAATATCCATATATTTCGATGACATCATACGAGGAACTTTAACATCTTGTTGACCATGGCCATGTTGTAACGATGTACCAGCACCGAATGATAAAACTTTACCAGATCGATCAATAACAAATGAAACATGATTACCACAGAAAATATCGATTATATTGGATAGATTTTGTATAAGTGTTGGTTCATTTAAATGATTTGTTAATTGATCAATACCCAATTGACCTTCATGATGTCGACCCATTGCATAAACCTCACCTTAAATAAGAAAACAGAGAAAAAAAAGGAACGAAAATTTTTGATTTCGAAATTTTTATTTTATTACCATTAGCAGTTAAACCAAGTGTATGATGAAGTCCACCGGAAAATTTTATCCATTTTTTACCTTCAAGTGAAGGAATAAATGTTGGAAAATAAACTGGTTCATCGACTGGTAAACCTTAATATTACAAACAAATATTTTAATATGTCTTTTTTTTTCTTCTCTATTTACCAAGTTGATTAAAATTATTTAAACCACCACCTAATATCCAATCATGACCATGAACTTTTAAAAAGAAATGATGTGAACCAGAAAAAATATCATCAAATAATAAATTTTTAGCTTTTATTCCTATTCGATTATAAATAATCGGTGCAGGTTTAATTAACCTATCTAAAACAAAGAAAAAAAAATTTTTTTTCATCATTTTATTTTCAGTTTTTTTCTTGTTAAAGTTTTACCAATGCCTCCTCGTAATCCATCTTCAGCTGCATAACGATTTAATCTTGCAAGTTGACCGGTTTCACCATTACCACATGAATAAACATGTCCAGTTTCACTTAGAAACAAAACAAAATCATAACCACTTGCTAATTTAACAATTTTTTCTGGTAAATGTATTTCGATTGGTGTTTTAGCCATTACACCTTTTTGTACAAGACCATAAACACCTGTTGTACTTGAACGAAATGTTCCCCAACCTATTCAAATTATAAACGAGAAAAATAACTTACGAGTGAACCTGCTTGAATGTTCTCTTATGATTTCAATGATTTAGATTCCTATCGAGATTTTGATAAATGAAGAAACGTCTCCAGATGTGAAATCACTGTTCATTAAATGAATAATAGCCAAGCTTAGGGCAGGTTGGTTTTCTGAGCCTTCATTCTTCAGATATTCAGTATTCGAAATTCTTTCATGTGAATAAGCAAATTTTATTCATTTCCTGAAAGAAATTACTAATGGTGCACAGTAAAATTTCGATATCTGAAGAACGAAGGACCGGAAAAACAAATCATTCTAGATTTTTATTCTATTCATCAATGAATACAGTTTCGTTTAAAAAGCAATTCAACATCAGAAGAGGCTTCCTCATAAGCTATCGATCTGAAACTTTGCACATACACAACTTAATTCGAATAACTTCCATAAGAAAATTTACTAGTTTTAAACGAAGTCACTCGGAGATATGAGATTTTCCAAACTTCTGATTTTTTATGAAAGGTAGTCTAATCGAGTTGTCTATAGACAGATTTCAGATCAAAACTGAATAGGTTATTAGAGAACCCATCCAACTGATTATCTCCGTTTGAGCTCACAGGTAGTAGTCATAATGTAAATAAAAATCTTGAAAATCTTCTCAGTAATAGCTCTTGTGGTATTTGAAAGTTTCAGTTTGAATGGATAATTTCTTCTTAAGATATTATATGACTAAAAATTGGGCTATTTTTTGAGCTCTTGTGTGAGAGTAACTTTTTTTGTTTATAAACATGTCACCTCAGAAGGAAAGCATCTGTTCGAATTGAAATTTTCAGAATATTCTGTGTTGGGGAAAATTTCAGGCCAAATCTTCTATTAAAGGTTTTTCTTAGAACAGTATGTAGTATCTATAGACAAAAAAACCATTGAAATCAGAAGGAACATCTCAGTCGTTAGTGAAGAACTTTTTTTATTTACCATAAACTTTTCCTGCATCCGATAAAGCTAATGTATGACTATCTCCAGCAACAATTTGAATAATTTTTTCTTGATTTATATCCATAACACCACTCATATCAACTAATCCAAATTGATCAGCTTGATCATCATCATCATCAATAACATTATCAGGTCTACCCAATGCATGTTCATCATTACAACCAAATGTATATATTTGATTTTTTTCTGTAAGACATACGGAATGAAGTGGACCAGTTGCTATTTGTATAATAGGTTCAGGTAATGGAACAGGTTGTGGATTTTGTCGTTGACTTATAGCACTTTTAAGACCTAATTGTGCCATACCATTATCACCAACAGCTAATACTTGTCCACCTTTCGAAAGTGAAAATGATGGAAATGTTACATTTACTACAGATGATGCTGATGGAGTCTTTGCACGAGATTTTACTTTTGTTGTATAACCATCTATAAGTAACAATCATTTGTTTTATATTTAAAGAAAATAAACATACTTGTCATATGAACGACTTCAGGTGCTGGTTTAGTACGTTTTTGTGGATGCTGATCATCATTTTGTATACCTATGAATAAATACTTTTAATTTTGGTATTTTAAAGAAATTAATTAAATAAAATAAACCATCTTGATGATCACTGTCTTCTAGTGAACGTTTTTTGGATTTTGTTGATGATGTTTGTTTATTTTTTGTTGATGGTCGACCGGCTTTTGTTCGAGCTAGAATTATGAAAGAAATAAATAAAAATTAAGAAGAAAATATTCATTTACCTGAAGTAGGCATTGTTGAAAATAATTAAATAATCTAGCAATTAAAAAAGAATATATGATGAAAGAATAAGCTACAAGATTATACGTATAAAACAGTAGAAGATTGATGCTTATAAAATAAATTTAGACGTAATTACAAGACTTTTCTAATTGACTAATTCAAGCTAAATATTTATTACATTTACTTCCATTTATAATAAACAAAGGATAGCGAGTAACGAGTCATAAAGTGTCGTATTATATAGAAGGTTTTCTAGATGTCGCTTTGTATCATATCTTATATTAAATATTGTATCTGAAAACTATTGAGTAAACATCGTTTTTTTTTACAAATTATACATATATACATCTTTTTATCTAAGTCATCATATGATACATTGAAGTGTAATTATTTGATGGCGAAGTAATGGGTCAAGAGAGATGCAGTGTGAAACTGATTATGTAGTATATATCGTCGTAATGTGTTTTTAATATACGTGTTTATACATGCTTTTACATCGAAGTCGTAGTAATTCAGTAATAGAACAATATATGATGATGATATCATATGAATCATTATTACAAAAATATCTATCAACATGTCATGACATAGAAAATAATAAGTGTAGACTGTATATCTATCTATTAAGTCAATATAGTAGTTATTTACAAAAGACATTTTACATCAACAGGTACTAAATAAGACAATTAAGTGTTCGTTTTCTTTTGCGAAAACATTATATTCGAAGTTGTCGAAGAATAATAAATAACTACTAACACTCTACGATGCAAAAGTAACTGTCGAAATGACCCAAAATGATTATCCAACGAGGAGGATTGTGAAGAGTCAATTTTATCTTTTATTTAAAATAAAAAAATAAAAAAAACAATATCAACAAATAGAAAATAAGTCTTTACTCTGCATAAAGTATGAGTTATTTGAACTTCAATTTTATTTGATAAGCTCATACACTTTCGCACAAGAATCTTTGCCTGTTTTTGTGCTAAATTTATTACTGAATAGAGATATAATATGAAAGTTTTATTTCATTGTAGTATACAGATCACACTGTAATAAAACTCATGTCATGTCTTTACTCAGTAATATATTTGATGCAAAGTATGACAACATAAAAAGACAAAAGGAAAAATGACTTTTGTTCACAATTTCTTTTTCTTTTTATATGTAGCATTTGATGAAGTTGTTAATGGACCAATTCTATAAAATATTTGATTACCTTGAACATTATCATCATTTAGGGAGAATTCTTTCCACGATTTCTCGAGAGCGATTGGACGAACAATAATGAAACTTTCAAGGCAGATAGATCTCGATTCGTAAAGCAAATGCTCTAACAGGTGCACAATTTCCAGATGCTTCCATCAGGCAGATATAGGGGTTGCAAAGGTGCAAAATGTCTAGAAGAGCCGTGCATTCAATGATATTGAGCTTGTAAAGGCTGCCGAATTTATCGGAATAAAATTTTGAAGGAAAAAAACACGTACCTGAATTCGATTAAGGTTCGCGTAAAAAAAACTTGAGCTCAATCGGATATACCATGTGGTAGAAGAGGGGAAGAATTTCGTTTTTTTTCTTTTTTAAAAACGGATTTCGAGGAAAAAAAGAACAAATTTGTGTGTCTCTATTAGGACTTTTTCCTTCAACTAAAGTAATTGAAAAATGCTAGTGTTTAGCGGTTTGACAGACCCATCAATTGTGACCTTGTAAAGGATGTGTACTCTTAGAAGGTTAACTCTGTAAATGGATGGAGATTACTGTCAGATCGAAATGTCTTGACTAGACGTGATAATGCAGAGTATAGAAAAGAAATAGTGAATCCATTGTAATAGAAAAAAACGAATACGTGGTTAGATGTCGAAAGGGAAAACGTTGAAAGACAAAATGTCGAAAAACAGGACGTAGAAAAGCAGATTGCCGAAAAGAAAAATGTCGAAAGTGAAAATGTCGAAAGAAAAATGGCGAAAATGAAAATGTTGAAAGGTAAAAATGGCGAAAATCAGATTGTCGAAAAGAAGAACGTCGAAATAAAAAATGGCGAAAAGAAAAATCTGAAGGAAGGGCCATGAAAAATGTCATTGAACAAATTTCTATTCACTGACGATACATTGGGGCATCTGCTTTATCATCAACTTTTGGTATCTTAATCCTTTAAGTATCAGCGTCCTGAATAAAGGACACTTTTTTCAAGGTGGTTTTTCAAAGAGTCATCAAGCTTATTAAGAGGAGATCCTCTTTTCGACTCAAAATTCAAAAACTTCACTTTTTGTATTTTTGTGCTCTATATATGATTCAAGTTATCCTCTATGTACTGAGCATATTTCAGGAATTAATATGTATGTACAAAAAGCCGACAACCCTGAGAAGATGGAAGATTTTCGCTGAAAAATATCAAAATTTTCACTTTACTGTGCTTTTTATGAAAAACGAACTTTTTGATTAAAAAAAATGGAGAATTCCCTCGTTTCTCCAGCATAGTACATCCAACCAAGCCGAAACCTTTTCTATTAATAGTAGAAAGTGTTTAGGATACTTACTTTTTTGTTTCAAAATATGATGTACCTCGGTTTTTTGTCAGGATTCACATAAAAGCTCTAGTCAAAAAATACGATTTGTTCAGAGTTTTTGAGGATGCTCTCAGAATTTTGATGTTTTTACTCGAACAGAAGGAGATAAAAAGAAACCAAAAGAGAAGTACCTCCCAACGGTGGCTAGTATCGGTAAGAAAAAAATTCAGCTCTATCGGGCATACTACTACCGCGAAGACATGGCGATTTGTAGCTTTTGGGACCCCAATATCTCCTATAAGGAAGCATTTAGGAAAGTTGAGTCTACGGCAACTTTTTCTCTACTCATTGGGATCTATTTACTCTGGAAGTTTCAAATTATTCTGATGAGTCATTCTCCACAAGTGCCGGAAAGGAGGGAGTCTCCGCCTAAGATAATGCTTCCAATGGAGTTAGAATTTTCGCATAAATATATGCTCACAATTATCGTATTATTGTAAAAAAACGTCATCTTGATATCTTTTTCGCGTTCACAAGTTACTCAAAAATCAAAATGCTTAAAAAAGAGTTCTGAATTCGATGTGATGGTATTTAAAGCCTTAATTTATCCATGTAATGTTTATTTATTTGTTCAGTTTTTGAATAGGTTTGATTTGTACTTTTCTTTGCCTAGATTTCATCAACAAAGTAGACGACTAAATATGCACTATTACTGTTTTCGGCGTCATTACTTTCGACATTTTCATTTTCGGCATTTTGTTTTTCTACATTAACAACTTTCGACATTTTTCTGTTCGGCGTCCTGCCTTTCGACATTTTTATTTTCGATATTTTTTTTTCGACATTTTCACTTTCGGCATTTTCCTTTCTACATTTAGCTACTTTACCGAAAAAAACTAGAGAGTGAAACTTGGTCACTTCGTGACGACTCTAACCACTCTTGGAATGACATAATCATTATGATTAGAGAAATTTCATATAGAAAAGTATAGTCATAGCGTGAGTTTTTCTACTAGAATTTCCGTTAATTGAGTTCAATAAAAGTACTAACTAACAAAGACGACTACTCATTTAGCAGAAGACACTTCAAATTATATTAGCAATAAAAATTCTAAACCAAATTATTGTTCATCATCCAAAATAATATTACAATCATTTAAAATCATACTGTAGAGTTTATCACAGCCATTCTAGTTCATTTTTCTTGATTTTCAATTTCCATCTTTTTCTAGTGACAGTCGATATTCCGTTTCTCAATCTACGCTTAGTTATTGCTTAATGAACTTTATAACGTCTTGTTACTTGACGTTGACTAGCATAAATTTTATTATGGATAGTTTTCAACAAACCATTCATCATTTTTGTTGAATGATCTTTTCGTATTAAAAATTTATTTGTAATATGAATTAGATCCTTATTAACATATATTGAATCACGCTCTTATTTGCTGCATCTTCATAATAGTTGCAGATACGTTTTGTTAGTTGTTCTCTTTCTTCAAGTGTCATTTAAATCAAAAAATAATACATTTCTGCAAATAATTTTGCATTATAGGTTAGGCATACTAATTAGCAATGTTGTCTGATTAAGATGATTTTCATATTCTAAAGATCTTCGTGTTAATGGAATAACTAGAACATCATACATGGTAGGGCAGTGTCCCTATGATCTTCGCGGAAATTGATGCAAGATAGTGTTGATGATGGGAATTTTCATATTCTTTTCTTTCTTCTGCGGGTAGTGCGATGTCCAGCGGCCACAATTTTAGTTATGCTACTGCTTTGCATTTCTAACCTTGCAATATTGAAATCGATATTCAATGAAAAATAAGATAACAATTTCATATAATACATATCTAGATAAAAGTTTATAATACATCTAATCATGAAATCTACCATAATAGGAAAACAATATAGAAGAAAACAAATGTGTTTCACATAAACAATATTTTTTTCTTCAATAATGAAATAAACACTATAAGTTATAATCGTAATTGACATTGAAATAAAAATAAAATGAATGCAATATCCTTGACAATCTTATTATTTCCGCAATGAAAAATATGAGTAAATAAAGAAAGAACTTAGTTATTAAATTCAACGTTTAATTCTATATATATTTATTTATTCTCAAATGAAATCAATCATTTTTCATTATACTAAATTTTATTTTTATGAATATGTTTATTTTTTGGCACAAAATGATAAAAGAAATTTTATGAAATAATAATATTCGATAGGGAGATACTACTGAAACGCATTGACTATCGACTAAATGGTAAAATGCATAATAATGGTTGACTACAATGTTAATTTTTCGCCAAATCAGTAAGTGATTGTGTTGAACCATGTGTGGCTTCTCCTTCATGTTTTGTACCAGGTCGACCTTCATGTGGATTAGGTAATGGTTGATGTAGTGGTTCAACACCCCAAATTTCACGAGCATATTCCGCTATAGTACGATCACTTGAGAATTTACCCGATGCTGCAATATTTAAAATACTTTTCT